CAACCCTGCAGGCTAGGAGAGCTTGGAGCCCTATCTTCAAAGTCCTAAAGGATAAACAATTTCAACCAAGAATAACCTACCCAGCCAAGCTAAGCTTCATCAGTGAGGGAGAATTAAAATCTTTCCCAGATATCCAATCCCTAAGAACTTATGCAGCCACAAAACCATCTCTACATGAAACACTTAAGAAAGTACTAAACACAGAAGAAAAGGAAAAAAGAACAACGTTCTTCACAAGAGTACAGGGAAAAGAATAAAATATACACGAACCAACCCCAAAAGCAAAAGAAAGACAAAAAAAAAAAAAAAAAGAAAAAACCAAGTGGAAGAACAATAACTCAATAAGAACTCCATGATAGGGATGAACTCTCACATTTCAATAATTAGTCTGAATGTGAATGGACTAAACGCACCACTGAAAAGACATAGAATGACAAAATGGATAAAATATCACCAGGCAACAATATACTGCCTTCAAGAGACCCATCTCACTAGAAAGGACATACACAGACTCAAAGTAAGAGGATGGGAAACAAATTTTCAGGCGAATGGAACACAAAAGAAAGGAGGAGTCGCGATCCTAATTTCAGACAAAATACCATTTAAGCTATCAAAAATTAAAAAAGATACAGAGGGCCACTACATAATGATAAAAGGTTCACTCCATCAACAAGAAATATCTATCCTAAACATATATGCACCCAACATAGGCGCACCAACATTCATAAAGCAACTTCTAGGAAAACTAAAGAAAGACATTGACTCTAACACCATAATAACTGGGGACTTTAACACCCCACTCACTACCCTAGACAGATCATCAGGACAAAAAATCAGCAAGGAGATCCAGAACCTCAATAAGACTCTGGACCAAACGGACTTAATTGATACCAACAAAGCACTCCATCCAAAGACCACAGAATACACATTCTACTCATCACCGCATGGAACATATTCTAAGATCGACCACATAATTGGACACAAATCAAGTATAAGCAAATTTAAAAGGACTAAAATTCTACCATGCACCTTCTCGGACCACAGTGGAATAAAAATAAACATTGACACCAACAAAGTCCCCCCAAACCCCACAAAGACATGGACACTAAACAGCATGATGCTAAACAACTCCTGGGTCAATGATGACATCAAAACAAAGATCAAAAGATACCTGGACACAAATGAAAATGAAGAAACATCTTACCAAAATCTCTGGGATGCCTTAAAAGCTGTAATAAGAGGGGAATTTATATCCCTACAAACACACACGAGGAAAATGGAAGGAACAGAAATGAACAACCTAACAAGCCACATAAAGAAGCCGGAAAAGCAAGACCACAAAAACCCTAATTTAAGCAGAAGAATCCAGATCACCAAAATAAAAGCCCAAATCCAGGACATAGAAGACAAAAAGATAATAGAAAAAATCAATGAAACAAAAAGCTGGTTCTTCGAAAGAATAAACAATATCAGTGGTCCCCTAGCTAGACTGACCAAGAAAAAATGAGAAAAAAGCCAAATAAGCACAATCAGAAACACAAAAGATGAAGTCACATCTGACCTGAAGAAATACAAAAGATCATTAGAGACTACTACATACACTTGTATGGAAAAAAAACTTGAAAACCTTAAGGAAATGGAGGACTTTCTGACATCACAAAACCTACCTAGGTTGGAACAAGAAGAAATTGAGACCCTAAATAAACCGATAACAATCAAGGAAATCGACTACATAATAAGAAAACTG